GCTACTACCACAATAAATTTTAACTTATCCTCTGTAAAATTAGCTAAGTCATATTCAGTTTGGTAGATTAGCAGAGCTGTGGCCCGTTTGAGTTGGGTTGACTCCAAACTATAATCCGTTACAGATGTCCATTTATTGATTGCTTTGAGAGTTTCATTAGAATTTGTCCGAAGGTTCATTATATATTTTGTTCACTTTTTTTAATTTAATAACCTTTATTTAACCAGACAAATCTCACAGATCACTTTTGCAAGGGAGGTCTGGCCCTGAGAGTTTTTGGACTGTGGGAGGAAATCGGACTACCCGGGGAAAACCCACGCAAACACGAGGAGAACGTGCAAAGTCCACACAGAAAGACTCCAGGCCCAATCCAGGGACTGGACAGGGTATTTTGTTAACTGACAGGCCAATAAACACATGCACACACAGACACAGGCAAAAACAATATTGCACGCCTTATTATTATGTAATTTCATTAAAGATGTAACGGTCTTGTGGGATCAATGAAGCTATTCTAACAATTATCTTGTCATTAAACAAATGTGAATGTTTCCATAGATACAGACTCAGACACATTATTGAATGTTGTTGATACTAAATATTATTTTTTTTATATTTAGTTTTTGTGCCGTATTTAAGAATTGTTGTATTTGCTGCATGCGAAAACCTTTTTTACTAAAATGACAATAATAATTTCCTGCAATTTATTTATTTTTAACCAGTATAGTTTTAAGAGATGAATGTGTCCCTTTCATTCCCTCACCTCAGTAAAAACAAAACAATCCAATAGTGTATTATAGAGTATAAATTGCTGATGTTGTAACTTTACAAGCCAAGAACACGACCAGTAATGCTGACTCCAGCAGACTGGAAGTTCGTCCGGTTTGTGACACCGAATGTTACCACCTTCCTGTAGCTGAGCCTTGCATAGATAAAAATGTTGAAGCATCTCCTGCACACTCGCTCATAATCAGGGTTTCAGATTAGCCTTTAGTGAGAGAAAACTCAAATCCAGACGAAGAGACCCTGAGAACTAGACCTGGACTCTAATGCACATCGTGGCAGTTTTTATTCACCTGCATCTGCACAACCAGAGCTTGGGTTTTTGTTGTTTTGTTTTTTTTTTTTTTGGGGGGGGGGGGGGGGTTATACTGCCCAGTACTTATGAGGTACCTCCTGGAACTTACAAGGTAACATATAGGTACTAGCTGGTACTAATCAAGGTACTTGCTGAATAATATATAGGGTACTACTTGGGTAACTGGGTAACATACAGGGTAATTGCTGTTTACTATAAAATATACTTACTAATTAGTATACCATGTATTTACCTGATAACATACAAGGTGCTTACTGGGTAGCATGCAGGGTACTTGCTGGATAAAGTACAGAGTACTTACTGGGTAGCGTACTGGAAACTTGATAGGCTGTATGTTAATACTGTTTGTTACCCTGTAAGTACTGGGTACGTATCATATTTACTGGACTGTATTATGCAATGCCAGTTGTATTCTTCCTTTTGTGCAAGTGTAAAAACATATTTTATTTTTCTCAAACAAAGAAAGAATGAAAAATCTCCAGCCCTGGTTCAGCTGGTTTAGGAGACGGGGAAAAAGAAAGCTTGTGAAAGAAAAAAGATTAGTCATTTTAAAAGACACATGTTTGATTGTTGTCTGGATTCACATCACTGAACCAAGGCATCAGTTTTGTTCTTTTGTGTGAAGCTGAGAATGACGGTGTTACTGTTGCCACTAAGCACAGGTGTGCACCTGAGGAGGGTTTTAAACAGGTTTTCTTACTCTGGATTCATTTATCTTGTTGCTTCTCAGCTCTGAACTGTCTTGAACAGGAATTGTCAACTTTTGCATCAATCGAACTGCCTAAAACTTCCACTTTTATTCTTAAAATACAGTCTCATCTGTCAAAACCTTCAATGTAGCAACCGTGGTCGATGCACCTGTAATCATATTGCAACTAAACTGTCTCTAAAAGTATTCTGAATAAAAGGCATCAGATGAAGGAATGTTTATCGAACGCTATGTTTCACGCCACAGTCTTAAACTGACATAATTTTATGCTGAAAAACGATGGAGTTATTTTGGTCAAACCTCATTAAGTGACTTGTCAATTAGCGCTCATCAAACTGAGTGACTGCTAATGACTTGCAGAGGTGAGGTACTGGAAATTTGTATTTTCTGACAAAGTATCTGTCCAATGGGTTAGACCAGGGGTCTGCAACCTGCAGCTCTGGAGCCACATGAGGCTCTTTGGTCCTTCTGCAGTGGCTCTTTGACCAAAACTAACATAAAACTGAAGTTTATTGGTCGTTGAACCAACAACAAGAAATGGCTAGTTTAAGCAGTTTATGATCATTTATTTTGCCAACATGTGAATGATAGTACTAACACAAGGAGCAAAACTTGTTGACTACATCATGCTAGTAGTTTGTTAGCCACTTCTTTTAGCTCACTCCCAGCCTTATGGTGTGATCTTTTCTCAAATCCACCTAATTTTGTGGGAATATCCTTAAGGCAAGTTGCTGAGAAGAAATATTGTGAGTCAACTTGATAACAATAAAAAGTAAAACGGTACTACTTTCCAATAAGGCTCCTCTTATCGATGGCTAATAAATAGTTTATAGATATATTATTAATTACTCTATAAACACTTTATAAATCACTAATAACAGCTTATTATGCATTTACTAAGGGTGACAGTGACAAAACTGACCAGTTTTTTGCCAAATAGTGAGCCAAGTCTGTTCATCTATATATTTCATTTAGAGTTGTTATATTAAACATTTCAGACTAAGTTGTAAGAACAATAAGCATTTGTAAACTTATTTCTTTATGATATAATATTGTACTTTATCACTACATTATAAATATCTACAACTAATATTATATCCTGAAAAAAATAGGTTTACAGATGCTTATTGTGCTTACAAGGTAGTAACTTAGTCTGAAATGTTTAATATAACAACTCAAGATGAAATGTATAGGTGAACAGACTTGGCTCACTATTTGCCAAGAAACTGGTCAGTTTTGTCTCTGTCACCCTTAATTAATGCCTAATAAGCTGTTATTAATGATTTATAAAGTGTTTATAAAGGAATTAATAACATATCTATAAACTATTTATTAGCCATCTATAAGGGGAGCCTTACTGTAAAGTGGTACCGAAAAAACTCAAAGTCAAAGTAAATGGAAGTATTTAATTTTTATTTAAAATTTAAATTATGTATCCAACAAACTGGCATAATTTTTAACGTTATGCTTTGTTAATTCATAATAGGATACTTTATGAATTGTTGCCACAAATAAAAATGAAAATTCACTGAAGCCTGCATATTTGTTTGATTTTTTTATAAGATTGGTTAAAAAAAAATTATATATTTTTTTCTTCTTTATATAAATCCAGTCTTTTCATTTGCCATAAGATATAAAAATATCAAATACCAATAATAATCTGATATTTTAGTTTCATAATATCACACCTGGGCAGCACGGTGGCGCAACTGGTAGAGCTGCTGCCTCTCAGCGAGAAGGTCCTTGGTTCAAACCCCGGTCCAGGGGCCTTTCTGGGTGGAGTTTGCATGTTCTCTCCGTGCATGCGTGGGTTTTCTCCGGGTACTCCGGTTTCCTCCCACAGACCAAAAACATGCATGTTAGGCTGATTGGTAACTCTAAATTGTCCCTAGGTGTGAGTGAGAGAGTGAATGGTTGTTTGTCTCTATGTGGCCCTGTGATGGACTTGCGACCCGTCCAGGGTGTACCCCGCCCCTCGCACAGTGACTGCTGGACATGGGCACCAGCGACCCCCGTGACCCAAAATGGAATAAACGGGTAAAGATAATGGATGGATGAATATCACACCTACTGGCCAGAAAAGCCCCCTGCGGTATGAAGTGGCCCATGGGCCACCAGTTGATAATTGTCGTTTTAGCAGGTTTTGCATAGACATTTTATTTAGTGTGAAAAGAGGCAAAAATGACTCTTTTGATCATAAAGGTTGCAGACCCCTGGATTAGGAGATGTTTGGCTAACAGACAGTGCAGACACCAACAGTTAATGCCAAAGTTTTAAGAAATGATGTTGCACATCATCCAAGTGTGTGTTGGGAATGATGGTCGGCTATTACCACAATAAGTTTTAGCTCTATTTGCAGTTATAGCCATTTTTGGTGTTTGCTTAGCTGTGGCGACCATTTTAAACGGGTTGGACTCCAAAAGTTTTTAGATTTACATCCAGTGATGGTTTTCTGGGAACTTCATTCAACTCTGTCCTCTGGATCATGAGATGTCAGTACAGACAAACGAGTGCAAACTTCAGTGCCACACCTTCGTCTACGATGACATTAACAAGAAAAAACAAACTTCCCCCTTTTGTTACTCTGGTTAATTCACGTGCGCTGATTGGTTTTAATTACAGAACGAAATAAAATCAGTGTGCCAATAACCTTCAAGATGAATTTATGACAAATCCTTTTACAGCCAGTGAGACAGCAGAAAAGCCTTTACCTTGTACACAGATTTCGATCAAAGAATCACGTAGAAAACACACTTCTGTCCAGAAAGAGAGCTGCTCGTTGCTCCCTCGTTACTTGGATTCACTCATCGGCTTCTCGCCTCGGTTTTGACAAGCTAAAGCCCTCGACTACTAAGAACAATTTGAGCAACAGAAATACACACCACAGCACACAGACCCATAGGTTTAAGATTTAGAATGCAACACACACAATTCAAAAAATATATCTTCTAATATTTCTGTTCTTGCCTCTTTTTTTTTCTTTTTCATTTATACAGTTAGAAAAATTACAGTTAGTGGACTTCTTCAAGAGAAAATGCTTTCACAAAGACATCAGTGATGCTGCACGGTGCACCGTGACGGCTTTGGATACTGCAGTGTCCTGTGTGCTGTTAAAGGGATAGTCTAATCATCTTTGAAGTGATGCTCTGTCTGATAGTTAACAGTTAGCATCGTATCAGGCATGACATCAGAGTCCGGACTATTAGACGGAGCATCACTTCAAAGATGACTGGACTTTCCCTTTAAGCATCAGGGATGCTGATCTCCTGCGTCCTCCCATGAGTGTTCACATACTCTGAACGGTGCGGACCACTGCTCCCCGCCAGCGTCCTGAGGGTCATGAGTGCTCAAACCGACTCTTCCAGAGTTCGCCCCGTCTCTGTGTCATGTGTGTTCGCACGTCGTTACTTCGGGGAGCGGTGTCTGGTCTTGCATGACCACTTGCGGGGGAGTGGGGGAAGGGCGAGTGTGAGCCACAGAGTTCTTCTGCAGCTCCACTCCAAAAGCAGGAGGAGCGTTCTGCAACTGTCTCCTGTACTGCACGAAGCTGCAGGTCTTTAGGATGATGGCCAGTATGTTTTTCCCTATAAGGATTCCCGATACCCTGGCGTCCCGGTAGAGGAGCATGTTCCCCCCGCGGATGAAGAGCGTGATGATGTTAATGGTCGCCAGGCTGAGGATGGGGTACAGCAGCATCTTGTGGGGGACGATGTTTATGCCCTGCATGCTGATTTCGCTCAGAGACACACAGGGCAGCACGAGGAGAAGGATGTAGCAGTAGAAGAACATCAGGCCTTCCGCCCACAGAGGCAGCCCCTTCTTCTGAGGCTCCCACAGGTTGGCTTGGATGTCCAGTATGTCCAGCAGGTCCACCACCACCCAGAAGAGACGGTTGCGGATCTCCTCCCGCTTCTTGAAGGCGCGGACGTACTCCATGTGGTCAATGGCTACGAGCACGATGAACAGCACCGGGATGCAAATGGACAGGAGCAACGTCAACGCCTTCCTCGCTAGGGCGTCCAAACTTTTCCTGTCCGCCTTGTAGTTCTGGTACACGAAGTAAACTTTGATCTCCAGCACAAAAATGTAAAGAAACCACAGAATCATGGCGTAGCCGCGTTTGGCCGTCCGAACCTCGGCGCCCACCCACACCGCCACGTACCGCAGCACGATTAAGAAGCAGATGTCTCCCACCATCACCATGATGCAGATGCCAATCTTACGGGGCCCGTGGTTCTGCTCCACCAGGTAGGCGTCAATCAGAGCCATGCTGCTCATAATGAGGATGGTAGACAGGCACACGTGGGGCTTGTTAGTGGGGGGTGGGGGTACCATCCTTGCCTGGGTAAAAAGAAGGAGGAGTGTTGTCGAACACTGGGTGCAGAGGCTCCTTGTTGGATTTGGTGAGGAGGCAGATCAGAGGCTAGACGGTGGAGTTCCCCACCATTGCTTCTGTCTTGGCAATAATCCAGGATGCATTAATTGGACTCACACCGATCACTTCAATCAATCTCCGTTTGCGCCCGAGCCACCTGCGGGTAGACAGCACCCCTCGTTTAGTAAATGATGTTTATTGGTAAATGCTCTGTAAGCATGTAGGTTCACTTGTCGAAAAAATGAATAAACGTCAAGGTCTGCCTACCTTTCTGCGCCTTAACGGTCAGTCGTTGAACATAACCGTTCAATCAACGAGTTGCAGTTCGTCAAAAAGAGAGAAAATCTGCTGCATTGTGCTTTTATTAGAGACATCCTTGTTTTTAACTTTGAGCTTCAGGAATATAAATCCAGCTGAATACTTACATCTGCTGTTAAACCTTCTCCTGATAACATCCATGAGATTGAACTCAAAAAGAGAAATAGCAAAAAACACTTAATCCAAAGAAAGAAAGGGAATATCCCCAACCTTTTCTGTCAAATGTTAATCCGCCAGTCTTAGCGAGGTGTCTTTTTCAAGCCAACGAAGAATCCAAAAATAAAATCATAATCCATAAAAAAAAGCAGGATGAGAAGGATTTGAATGGACACCCAGTCGGCTGTGGGTTTCTGTGGCCAAGAATCGATTTTGTTTTTTGTTTTTTATTTGTGCTTAAAAGATCCAACTTCCAAAAAAAGAGAAAAAGTTAGAAAACAAAAATCTCTGTGCTTAGAAGAGGGATTCCTCCCCTGAAGTCATCTGTGGTGAAGAAGATGAAGCATGTTTGTGCCCGTGACGAGTTCTTTAACGACCGTCTGTCTTTTTCCAGATGTCCGTCAGCGTCGTTCTCCGCGCGCGCAGGTCTCCGCACTTTAATGCGCTGCCCTCCTCGGTGAGATCCCGTCACCCTCTTCCACCTCCTCCTTTTCCCAGGATCTCCAGGTGGATTCTCCTCCCGTCTCCACAAACTGCTGGCACAGTGCTCCTCCGACGCCGCTGCCTCCCCCCACCCGACACCCTAAGCCCCCCCTCCCCCCTGCCCTCTGGATGAAGTAAAGAGGTGCGCCTCTGCTTTGTGCAATCCCCAGGGCTCCTCTTCTCTCCTGCTCTCGCGGCTGTCCTCCTCCTCCTTCCTCCTCCTCTGCTCAAGTAAAGGCACTTGCTGTGTGGAGGTGACGCTCAGCTGCAGAGAGGAGGAGAGAGAGAGACTTCTCCAGGAGCAGGGTGAGGAGGAGGGAGGTGGGGAGCATTTTGATGCTTAGCTGAATGCACAACTTCTTCTCCTCACCCAGTTTTTTCACTTTATTCTTGTGTTTCGGGCTGACATCTTTATTTATTTATTTATTTATTTATTTATTTATTTATTTATTTTTCAGACAGTCTAATTTTTGGCACCCAGAAAAAGCCACCCTGGTTTTTTATTTTTCTTTTCTTCACGGCGCCATGTTCCCTGGAGTTAAAGGATGAGGGGGATCCTCTCCACCATGGGTGTGAAAAAAATCCAGTTCCTCAGAAGCCTATGTCTGCAGAGTGGGTGGGGGTGAGGGTGGGGGTGGGGGGGGTCCTCCTGACAGAGAGCCTTTCTATTGATCTACAAACAGAGCAGTGAATCAGGACACTGAAACGAGTCCAGAGACCACCGACGAGAAGTAATGAGAGACGGGGACACATGTGGAGAGGGGGGAGGAAATGAAGAAGAGAAGGTGGAGGGGTGAGATGAAAGGAGCAGAATACATTTTTAATGTTTTTATGTTCAGACCTGGCAGCGCTCGTGTGAATGCATATCTCCCACCACCTTTCAGACAAAGACAGAAGATGGAGTCAAACCTTGAAAATATTAATTTGCTAAATAGATGATGTGTCACATTCAGATTATGACGACTCTCAGCTACTACCACGTCAAATGTTGGTTTCATATCAGTGAACGGGCAGAGTTGTGGCCCTTTCTGTGTTGATTGTGTGATTAGCTGTGGCGGCCGTCCTGACACTTTGTTGATGTTCATCCGATAATTACTTTCTGCAAGCTTCATTGAACTCCAACCAGTAGTTCGCGAGATATTTTGCTAACAGTCGACTGCTTATAGTTCATGGCAAAATTAAAATAAGGATCTTGCACGGTCTGTTAGTGCTCAGAATATGTGTTGAGAATCACTCTCAGCCACCACTACACCAAAATTTAACTCAAATTCTTAAAAGCTGTTTGCGTTATCCCCACGGTCAGGGCCGGCCCGAGAAATAAGCACACTAGGGGGCTGCTTAGGGCCCCGGGGCCCCCTAAGTGGAATTTTAATTTTTTTTTTTTTAGTAATGATTTCTATGTGATTCTAAGTTCAGCTTTTGAAATTTATTGCATACATTTACATAGTTTTAAGAACTAATTATTCAACTTTAAATTTATTATTTAAAACCATTTTATGTGGTTTCAAGTAATTGTTCATTTACATTATTTAAAAAAAAAAAATCAGTCACAACAATTTAATGCGGGATCAGTAAAGTTCTATCTTATCTTAAGGATTCCCTTGATATTTTATTTTATTTTATTTTATTTTCTCTGTTTTGGCACAGTTTAATGTATTTTTATGCATCTAGGTTATTTAATCAGTTGTTTGTTGTTGATCTTGCACTACAAATTACTTTTGAACATTACTGTTGCAGTTCTTTGCAACCAAAGGTAATAAACCAGACGACATTTTTTCTGTAAAATACTTTGCATACTGGTGTTTATTTATTTTTTGTTACTTTTAGTACACTAGATCACATGAGTCAAACTCAAGGCCCGTGGGCCAAATCCGGCCCTCCACAACCATTCCTGTGGCTCTCTACACCCTAGAGGGCCACAGAAACAGAACTTCAAGATAATAGTTGTGTGCTTCAATATTAATTTATCAGTCAAATCAAATCAGATTTTATGTTTATAATGCCAAATTACTCAAAGTAGTAGAGAAAGTTATATTTTACCAGTTTGTTAATAGGTTGTTTTATCAGTACTATATTATGTATGGGTGAATGATCGGATCATCTGACTGTTGATTGCAGTAATCCACATTGTTAGCAGAAGTAGAGGCTTGGGGGTTGCCCTGCCCATTGTTGTGTTTTAAAGGTCAGCTGGCTGTCGCTGCCATATTGAATTGGAATATCTCTAAAGGTTTATAAACTGTAGCTGAACATCTAAAGATTACCTTCTCCAAGCTACATTGAAATTAATCCAGCGGTTTATTAAATATTTTGCTAACAGACACAAAAACACAATTGTCTTCTTTCAGCAGGGGGTGATAATCGTTTGAAACGTAATTTTAAAAAAAAGTGTCTCGGCAGGCTAAATAAAAACAGGAGGAGGTTATTGTGTTTATCTTGTAGTGCGGCATGCTAACACTGCTGCTTAGATTCATCCAGCCGGGCCCGAGTCCTTCCTCAGAGGAACCAAACTGCTTCCATTACTCCGGCATGAAGCCATTTACTTGCTGCTTCATGAATTGCAGATATTGAACAGTCGAACATATTGGTTTTTTCAGGCTGCACTTTTCATCCGGCTGCGTAATGACAACTGAAGATAACCGCCGTCAGTCTTGTCTCTTTCTGCGGTCATGAATGGACGAGGCTGCCAGCTGTGTGGGTCAGCTGACAGCTGCTGTCATGGCTGTCCGTGACCTCTGCCGTGCCTTTTCATTTCAAGCATATGGAGGCCCTCAAGTATGAGCAATGAAGTCAAGTGAAAAGCCGTTAGCTCTTAGGTTGCTTCCTTGTTGACTATTTCTTCTGGATTTATCGACCAGTTGAGCCACGACGAGAGCCGAGATCAAATATTTTCCTTTTTGAAAATTGTAAAATTGACATTTCTCCAACAGTTTTTACTACATTTATCACAGGCATTGTTAAACGCACACGCCAGGCCTCACTTTAAAGGGAGAGGGTCAGCGGAATGATTATGAACAATTATAAATAATAATAATAATGTGTTATGTTGTATGTTTCCATACAATGGTGAAAGTGACTCTGCATTTCACCCATCCACCCCCAGGTGGAGCAGTGGCAGCTATTGAAAGCACCGGGAGAGCAATTGGGGAGATAGGGTGTGCTGCTCAGAGACACCACGAGATGTGCAATAACTGGGGATTGAACCTGGGACATTCGGGTGCCCTGCCTCTACCCCATCTCTGCCCCCCTAATTGCTCCCTGGGCGCTCAATAGCTGCCCACTGCTCCACCTGGGTGTATCCCAGGTATGGGTTAATGGGGGCGATAGGTTAAATGCAGAGAACTAATTTTGTCATTGTATGGGAACATACAATGATGACAACGTATAGCACTTATACACTTGTATCGTTCTCAGTGCTAAAGAAAATTAAACTTCTGGCTGAAATTTGCCAAATTAATTGTGTAATGTGAAACTGATAATGTTGTATTTGTAGATCACATTTTGCTGATTAGAGCTGTTGTATGAAGTCAGACTCACAACAGTCTGAACTAGAAGTTAAGTCTTCGACTTAAACTCCGTTTCTCCAAACTGAGTTCACACAAAGAGCCATCTACACCAGGGAAGATATTAATTTTGGTTAGGTGTCTTGCTCAGAGACACCACGACATGTGAGAATGGCTGGGAGTTAAACGGCAACTTTCTGGTCCCAAGTCGGCTGCTCTACTCTACCCCATCTTGGTCCCCAATTCAGTTCAATTCAATTTATTAAAATAGTGCCAAGTCACAACAGAAGTCATCTCATGGCACTGTGCAGAAACATTCATATACATAAAAGTAAGTTAATAACATTATTCATTTGAGGAGCCAGCAAAAAATAATGAATTTGTGTTTTTTACAAAAGTTGTGTAGCCACAAGCTAATTTACAAAACTAGCTCTTAGATAATTTCACTAATTAGCATTTTTAATGTGTGTGAATGGTTTTTGTAGATTGCAGTGCCCTGAGGCAACAGTTGTTGTGAATTGGTACTTTATAAATAAACTGAACCAAAATAAACTGAATCGAATAGACCTTGGTTGGGCTTTTTAGACTAAAGTCAACGGTAAAATTAGACATTCCTCAAATACTATCACTCACAAATGAAGGCGGTACAAGAAAGGACAGGTGTATAGGTTGGAGGAATGCTGTAGGGAATGGACCTTTGAAAAAAAAATGGAGACTTGAGTTGTCCTAAGGTGCCATCCACATGTTTATGTTTTGCTTAATGGTCTCAGTCTTGTGTCCACATGGAAACAGCCATTCAGGAGCCCCTTAGGGTGTATTTTTGGATAGCAAGTATCAGAAAGAAAGTCTTGAAATGCCCGTCTGAAAACTTTATGCTCC